GTTTGCAACTCTTGGTTGTTACAATCACGCCATTGTGATTGGTGTTACGACAGTGTCACACTTTTCTGCTTTCAACAACCTTCTTGAAATCCTTCTCATCGCTTGTCTTCTGATGTCCTCAAGAAAATTAATTACAGGCTTTGATCTTGCCATCTTGATTGTCCTATTAAAACTCTCAGACAAGTTATTGTGAACGTCTTCACAATGGGACTCCTCCTTGAACAAAGCACGACACCATCTTTCAGGTTCGGTATCAAACAGAGCACCATACGCCGCATGATCATATGCATTAACTAACATCAATTTTTCTTCATACTCTCCTACAGTGTAACTATATGCAACTCCCCGAAACAGATTCTTGTATTCTAACCTTGAGAATCCTCTCTTCTTCCAATTTGCATAAATATGCCGTGCACACATACGATGTTCTGCATTTGGAAGCTCGTTCTCTATAGCAATCACAAGACCCTATGAAGGAAAGACCATTACAAGTATATACAATCTAGAACAATTTTTTATTTAAAATATTAGAAGAGAAAGTCTAAAGTATTACCTTTTCTTTATCAGAAATTATTGTCAAGTTGTCTCCATTCCCTATATCAAGATCTGCATTCAGCTTCTTTACAAACCACCTCCAAGTGTCTTTATTCTCACCTCTAACCACTGCCCATGCAATCGGGTACATTATGTTATATTCATCTCTACCAACTGCAGAAAGTACATCGCCTGCACAACTTACAAAACTGAATTGCTTGAGCTTCCAAGATACTGTCCAAAGCAATGCGCCTTCCTCTATAACACTTTGTGATCGGTACCACAATGTGGTATCGCTCTTTAATTATGTCTTTGATCACAGTTGCTTGTAAGCTAATATTTCTTCTTATCTCTTCTCTAAACAAGCTTGCAATCACGGTTTGCTTCAACATCGACACTCTGCTTGATTTTCCAAGGTTGTGACGCATCTAGCAGACCTTTACCATCCACTTATTGATAGGCGGCTCAAATGAACAATAGACCCTAAATTTACACTCATCGCCGCAACACACAACTACTATTCTGTTTGCATCAGACCTGGCCATCTTAACGTCAAACTGAGTCTTTAGCGAGTATCTCAATAACTGGTCTTTGAACTCTTGCCCCGAGTTAAACTTCTGGAACAGCCAGATATAAGGTTCCTTATCCAAAGCTCCATGAAACTTAGGTTTTTCTTTTTCGCTGCCTCTTCGTTTTGGCTTATCCCATTCATCCCATTCTTCTTCAGATCCAAGTGGTGTATCTGGATACCTACCATCCTCTTCTTCATCACTATCCGCTGCTTCCTTTTTTTTTTCTAAATTCTGATATGCTTCTTTAGTTGCTTTCGCCATTGCACCTTCCTCAAAAAGTGACTTAAATCTATGATCTTTACCACCATCTCCTGCATCTTCAACAACATCATCTCTGATGTCAGCATTCTCATCTGCCACTTGTTCATTTTCTTCTTCACCGCTATGCTCATTTTCTTCTTCAACTACATTCTCATCTTCAGAACGTTCGGTTCTTCATCTTCCAATGGTCTCTCCACTTCTTCTTCACTGCCCGAGACATCATCTCCACTTCTTCTTAACTTCACCAAAGTCACTCCACTGAAAATTAAGTTCAAATTAGAATCTTAACCACGAAAATTAACCAACCCAGAAAACGCAAATCTCCCAAAATTTTAAGGTTTTGGACGTCATTTCGCCTCAAGCATCTAAATACCCTCTTCGATTCTTCTACTTTCTTTCTCTGGAATTCCTTTCGTCTCAGATTCTCTCTCTCTCTCTCTATATATATCTCTCTCTCTCTCTCTCTCTCTCTCTCTCTCTGATAAGAACCCTAGATCCCCAATTCAATTTTGGTTTTTGGTAAAGAAACAATTTAGATTGGAAACGTGTTTAAATCTTAATAAGCATGTTTTTAACTAAACGTCTGTTACAGCTTCCGTTAATGGCATCTACTGTACTGTTAATTTTTGTAACGGTCCGACGACAGTTGGCAAGTTAGGGGTTTAAACTGTTACAAACAAATTCAATAGTTTGAAGTGTTAGTTGTTAAGTCTCAAGGTTTAAAGTGCAACATTTTGCCAACTTCATAATTAAAAATGCAATTTTCCCGATATTTAAGATAACAAAAATAATAATAATAATAATAATAATAATAATAATAATAATAATAATAATAATAATAATAATAATAATAATAATAATAATAATAATAGTGTAAAAGAACCAAAAGAACCAGAGCTGACCTATATCGTCAGACCAAAGTTGTTGGGGTCAAAATCGGTACGACAGAATTTGTTGGGGTCAAAATCGGTACGACGGAATCAATAGCCAAAATTCTCCGCAAACACATAAACGCAACAGTTTTATGAATCTCGAGAATCATTTTATAAAACTCGAGAGATCGTTTTATAAAGCTCGAAGATCGTTTTATAAAACTCGAGAAGCTGTTTTATAAAACTCGAAGATCGTTTTATTAAACTCGAAGATCGAAGATAGTTTTATAAAACTAGAGGATCGTTTTATAAAACTCGAGAAGCCGTTTTATAAAACTCGAAGATCGTTTTATAAAACTCGAAGATCGCTTTATAAAACTCGAGAAGCCGTTTTATAAAACTCGAAGATAGTTTTATAAAACTCGAGGATCGTTTTATAAAACTCGAGAAGCCTTTTTATAGAACTCGAATATCGTTTTATAAAACTCGAGGATCGTTTTATAAAACTCGAGAATCATTTTACAAAACTCGAGAAATCGCTTTACAAAACCGCGAAAAACCGAAACCGCCGCAGAACGCGAACTAGTCGCAACCAGTTCGCCTGCTGGCGAACTAAGCCAAGCTGGCTTAGTTCGCCAGCAGGCGAACTAGAAGGTTCCGGACTAGTTCGCCTGCTGGCGAACTAAGCCAAGCTGGCTTAGTTCGCCA